ATATAACCCCAATATATTCCCTCGTTTCCTAACAACCCCAAAGCCTAAACCCTAAACCCTAAACCTTAAACCCTAAACCCTAAACCCTAAACCTCAAACCCTAAACCTCAAACCTTAAACCCCAAACCCTCAACCTTAAACCCTAAACCCTAAACCCTAAACCTTAAACCCTAAACCCTAAATCCGAAACCCCCCCAGTCAAAGCCCCGCCTCGCCCAGATGCTCCGCCAGGTGGGCGGCCACGTTCCTCTGAGTGACAAGGGGATTTTGGGGTAGGTGTATTTTGGGGTTTAGGGTTTAAGGTTTAGGGTTTAGGGTTTAAGGTTTAGGGTTTAGGGTTTAAGGCAATTACCCCCAATAATGCAAAATCAAACGGAAAAGAAAAAAGGGAAATGACATGCACAACTGGGTACATGTACTGACTATATAGGGACTAGGGGTAAGAGGATTTTTGGCAATCCCACCCCTTAACCAGGACCCCATTACAGGGGTGTTAAGGTTACCAAAATCCCCTTCTGAGGGCACTGGATAGATCCTTGCACTTCCCCGTTTGATGACTCGACTGTTGGATAAACTCAGCGAGTCTGCAGATCTTGTTGCCCCTCTGCCCCTTCTGGGTGACTCAGCCCTTTTTCAAACGCCCGCTTGATCTGTCATCTCGAGAACCAAGGGGAGGATGCATCTACTTCTATGTCCATCTCGGGGCTATCTCTTTCTCTCTCCCGATGCAGGTGCAAAATTGACTTAGTAGCCACCACATGGCTGGAGCAAGTGTTTGCGACTATGACCTAGCCTGGCACCTGGGAAGCTACAGCATGAGCCAGCAGCATGCAGTGGCGTAGCGAGGAAGAGCAGAATTCATGTCGCTGGTCACTGCCGTCAGGGCAGGAATTCATCGAGCGTCCTCGGCAGTGCTGCTGGCGCAGGCTCCGGAGAAGCCTCCCAGGGAATCAAGAACACGACAAGGTGCAACCTGATGCAAATACAACTATTCTTGTCGGTGGTGTCGTTTTCTTCTTATCGTCAGTCTTACGGTGGATACTAGAAAGTTTGCATGACCCTAAATACATGCTATATGCGGAATTATGGTACTATAGAAAATCAGGGTCCTGTGGGATCTTTAGTATTAACGGATTTTTTGAAGGTATCTTACATAGCCATTACTTTCTGCAGTTATTTCTATTACCAATAACCACTACGTCATCCCGGTTTCCAGTTTATCCTCTATTTGAGTCTCAGTTGTTCTAGACCCTTTGAAGGGGCCCCTAATTTTGGAATCCGCAAGTATTTCTTTACTATTATATCCCTAGACCCTAGTCTAGAATTACTACTATTGATATGTCTAAACAGCATACGAACCCAATACAATGCCAGTCTTACCTTGAATTCTTAATGACTACTGCTCCATACCCTTTGCAACTCTATATATATATAGATATATATATATATATGTCCCTGTAAATACCTTTCAGGGAGCCCTTGATTTTTGAAAACCCCGAAATATGTCCTGACCCTAATTCGTGATTACTACACTTAACATCCCTACGCCAATAATCCCAATATCATCCTAGCATAACCCACATAAATAGTAATCATGCCAATCACTTCAATTTTCTATCAAACACCGCATCCACCCAGCCAGATCCTGCGTATGTCCCGCAATACATAGGATCTCTTTTCGGCAATATCTAGGTAATTTTCGGGTGGGGGGGAATGTTTCATGCTAGTAGCTGCTAGTATGAACGAATTGTAAATTCCTACATAAACTTCCATTGTCTTTTGTATCTGATTCTCCATTTTTCCTCTGTACTCTTACATGTTCCGCTGTAAACCCTGCAGCCCCCTACATACCCCTATGTGTAGTAAGCCCTAAACCTACACCCTAAACCCAAATCCAACATACACCCTAGAACCCCCTTAAAAAAGGACCCGAACAAACTGCATGGAGCCGCAAGGGGCCTGGCCTGACCCCCCACCCCACTAACCAGGGAGTCGCCCAGGAAGAGAAGGTGCAAAGGTTTTGGCCTCCAAGGAAAACTCCAACAAGGTTTAGGGTTTAGGGTCATATTGGGGGGGAATAACATGGGGTTATATAGGAATAATGGAATAGAAAATGGAAACTACCATTTAGGGTTCAGGACTTGGGGTTGTTTCATTGGCTGTAATTTTCTTAGGGCTTAGAGTTAAGGTTATAGGATTTAGGGTTTAGGCTTTGGGGTGAAGAGTCTAGGGCTTAGGCTGTTGTGCTAAGCGATTTAGCATCTAGATGTTCACGCTTTAAGGTTGAGGATTTGAGATTTAGAGGTTTAGCATTTAGGTGTTTAGGGTTTAGGGCTAAGGTATCGCGGTTTATGGTACAAGCTCCGGGAGCCACTCCAAGCGCCTCTCGCTGCCGGCGCTCCTACCTGACAAGCGGAAAATGCGCGGAAAGAGTGAAAGACAGCAGACTTTGGGTCCTGCCCCCACCCATTAACAGTCTATAATAGGAGTCATATTGAGGGCTAGATGGCTATATATACTTATATTATAGATGTTATCCAACTGTTAAAGAGAGGGGGCAGTACCCAAAATAGACTGCAATTCTGATTATAGGATTTCCTTCTGTATAAGTGGCTATGAGGGAAAATCAGGATTAGATTCGGGTCCTACTAGATTCCTGCTATACCACTATTACACGATGGGGGGTCCTCCTAAGGGATTCCCAATAAGGGGGCCGGATTCCAGCTAGGTCCCCCTAAACCCTAAACCCTAAACCCTAAACCTTAAACCCTAAACCCTAAACCCTAAACAGCTAGGTTGTTGTGAAGCCTCCGGCCTGTTTCCTGGCCCTGGTCGGGGCCAAGGCAAGGGGAGGCCTGAGCACGCAATGTCTTCCACTGCGTCCGTAGATCCAAGGCCTCAAAAAGCACAGAAACAGAGGGGATATATGGGGAGAATGGAAAAGAAAATGGAAGCTATAGGGATTATAGGGGTATATTGTATTTTATTTGGGATAAACAGCTAGGATTTCATAGCTCCCAGTCAGAGCAGCAGCACACTAGCTAGCCCCGTCGCTTCTCCATCCCCATTTCTTCTCTATCGGGGATGGTGAGGCCCCTAAACCCTATACCCTAAGCGGCGATGCCTGCTTGGCAGCCAGTCCAGCACCCACTGCTGTGGCCGAAGCGGAGTAAGCCAGTGCCCTGGAAAAAGCACCTTGCATTGATAAGGCCAAAGGCCACGTGAGGGTAGATACAACCTAAAGCAGGGAACAACAACTCTGCAGAACTCCGAGTCTGCTGCGGCAGCGCGCCATGCCTGCCCTCCGCTTGGCCTTCTGGCTGCCCCCAACCCACCCCTACCCGCGAGAGCCCAACCAAGCGTAGCAAAGTCTGGAGTCTGCCCACAAAGGCTCAATTGCTTGCCAAGTTCAAGCTCGAGTCGGACATTCACTAACTTGCAGGCTTTGTAGTCCGACATCACAAGGTAACTTTTCATTTGCCGCACGCGCTCAGGCTCTTCTGGAGCAGGTATGCTGCGCGACCACAATGTCGTCGAACACTTGAGAAGAGCTCCTACAGCTCATGAAGCGAGAGTAGAAGTTGACATGCTCTTTTGATTGCCAATATATACCTTATAATCCCCATATTCCATTATAGTAGTTTCCATTTTCTTTTCCATTATCCCAATATAGCCTCAATATAACCCCAATAATCCCTATAAAACCCCTATATAATGGCTTACACGACCTTACGTGCTTTCGAGCTGTCATTTTGGGCTCGAAGCGAAGGTACACTTGCTTGCAGCTTTAGCTACCGGTACTGTTGCACAAAATTCCCGCGTGTTGCCACAGGTCCTGTGTGCCACAGACGCACATCTCGCTTGGGGCCGGGGAGTGCTTTTGCGCATAGGGTGTCCGCGACCTGGGGCCCGCGACAAAAGGTATGCAATGCAATTCATCCTAAGCAGCCTCTGATTCTCGCAACTGTGGAACGCATCACACCCCGACATTTCAATCCTAAACCCTAAACCCAATAGAACCCCAATATGACCTAAGGCCAACACGGAACCTATCCTGGCACGTTCTGGGTGGCCTTGGCTGGCTGTGTGGGGAGGACCGCACCTCCAGTAATGTATGGTAGTTTCCCAAAATAGCGGGACCCCAATATAGACTCCAAAATACTATAGTAGTTATTAAAGGGAGCCATCTGCTGGTAAACGCCTTGAATGGACAGTGAGCCCCTACCCTCATCTTCATGCAAGCAGACTAGCAGAGCACTTACCCACTACTTGGAGGGTCAGGGGGACGTAGCAAGTAGGTTGATAACCCCTATAATCCATATACTAACCCTACTTATCTCCATTATTAACCTACTTACAGAGTCCCCCTGGCCCTCCAAGTACGAATAATTGTAGCGCCTGCACACCACGTCTCAGCTGGCATCAATCCTCAGCCTCACCGCAGTGGACAACGATGCAAAGGATGTGCAAGGATCATTACTTGATGACACCCTACCGTTTAGGGTTTGAGGTTTAGGGGTGACAATTTTGGACCCTTTTCGAGTCCCCATCCAAATACGGCCCTTAATATTTCGGGGCCCAACAAGGAAATCTAGTTTTGACAACCTACCATATGCAAACCAATCAGAGCCAATTCAAGTGCAAGCCAGTAGATAGCTTGGCCAAAGTCCTACTTGCAGGGTCAGGGGGACTTACTGTAGTAAGTAGGTGAATAACCCCGTATGACCCATATATTCCCATTATTAATCTACTTACTCAATCATCCTGACTCTTCATGTAGCTGTTGTGTTTCATTGCCTTTTTGCCTATCTGCCCCAGAGAGCCCTGAAGAGAAAAGCAGACGAGGCAGCGCAGAGAAACTTTACAGTATCTTGTCTGGGTTGCTGGTAAGGAACTTAGACTAGTTAAGTATAACAAGGAAACCCCATTATTTACTATATACCCATAATGCGGTAACTTGAGCCCTAAACCCTAAACCCTAAACCCTCATGGGACTTTAATTTAAGTTCCTTGATATGTTTGCCTCCCATCCTGGGGATGCACTGCTTGAAGTGGAGCAGTTAGGCTTGAAAGTGGAGGCACTGACCCTACTGAGTAGTGTTTCTTTGGTGGTTGAACCTAGTAAGATTATATTCCTTGTATAATATACTATACCCCAAAAGGAGGATATGATCTTACTCTATATTGGGTACCATAGTATTATTATTATTATTCACGGACATCAGTCGGTCATGAGAATCAGGCGCTGAGCACTTTGGCTCCTCAAATAGAAGTAGTCTAGAATAATTAGAGTCGGGCGATAATGGAGGCAAGATCATCAAGGATCTTTTGACACGCGTTGAGTTTGTTCTCAAGAAGCACTCTGGATTGGAGATTAGCGTGGATGCATATTCTGTGAATTTTGTCCGGTGACTGGACAAAATTCAGCATGACAGAACAAAAACAACAGATAGGAATGTCATCCGTCCACTGGACGTCAGGGAGATGGGGCAAGGAGCGGTCGTCAGAAGCCTCCAAGTGACGTCCAATGGAGCGCAGAACAGAGTTGAAATACTTATGAAGACATACAAACTGTCGTTTGGTAGATTTAGGAGGGGAGATCATCCGTTTGATGTCATCGGCAGGTAACTGGCTCCAAAACGACATGGGCTTGGCTGTGACAGATCTCACAGTCTGGTCGCAAGGGAGTTTCAGGGCTGTTTTCTCCCATCTTAAGATCCTGGATTTGTATCTACGCCTCCCAATCCAAAGAGGGCCAAGGATATCATCCCTGAGAGGGGAGTTTTCAAGATCGGGGAAAAGAGAAAGAAATTGCGGCATGTCAAGTAAATGGTGCTTATATTGCATATTCCTACTGATGGCAATTTGAGTTTGAAGCTCAAGGAATTTCACACAGATGTTCCTTAGGTCCCAGGGAAAGGTAGAAAAGAAATGATCGGGGAAGACTCTCGCAGGTGGCATGCGGGGACACCAGTGAATTTCCTCGTCTTCGTGAAATTTCAGGGACTCATAGAATTTCCCCAAATAAAATACTACTCATGTGGAGGTTGTCCAAAATTCGGGGTACCTGGGGTTGTATAGGGGCTAGAAAGGGATATGCAAGGTTTAGGGTTTAGGGCTTCCCAAAATTAAGGGTACTTTTTTGCGGAGGAGTCCCTATAACAAGGATTATAGTATTTTAGGGTCTATTTTTGAGTCCCCCTATTTATGGAAACTACCATGTAAGCTACAGTCAATGTGTGCCATGTAATCAGTGGACAGTTCATGGGATAAGAACATGGAAAGTGAGATGGAAGCTGGGTCTATATAGGGGGTTCATAAGGATTAATTATTTACATAATTAGAGACCATTGCTTCCTCTTCGGGAAAATATTAGCGACCATACGAAACTATGAAAGAGACCCCTATGTGCATCCTTGACGGAACCTTAGTAACCCTTGTTTTGACAGTAGCTCATGTAACACTTGTATGCAGATTATTTGAAACCTGTGTGGGGTTGTCACTCTACCCTAAACCCACAAAACATCTTCATTCCTTCTGAACCCCTGTGTCCTCGGACAGTTTCGTGTCGGCTCAAGACAGCAAAGAGCTGCAACCTGCAGGAACACCCCCAATGAGTTCGGGTTTGGGGGCTTCATTTTGGTTCTGAGCTTGTCAAAACTAGTGAAATGGGAAAATGAGAATGGGAGCCCTGCATAATTGTAAGCATCTTTTTCCCGAGGATTCTGGGGACTAGGGTTTATGGGTCAATTGCAAAAGTAATTAGTATGGCTCTTGTTGTGACTAGGGCTGTTATTATTAGCTAACTATGCCGCTACTACTATATCCCGTGGAAACTGGAAATGCTTGTTGGGAATCCATTCGCTAATGTGACCTTGACCAAAACTTGAAGCATACAGATCTGGAGGTGTGGGCTTTAATTTAAGGCTGCAAGTTGTGAGGTCTTGGTTTGCCCTATCTAGATACTTTTGACGTACGGTTTCACTGGAGAGATCTTGCTTTCCGGGGCCTCAAAACTTTTTTTGGGTAGTTTCCAAAAAATGGGAAAGCACACTATCGACACCAACCTCCCTCCCCCCCTCCAAAAAAAAACAAACACACACAACCGCCTTATAATCCTTAATATGGGGAGCCGGCAAAAATTACTATCCCTAAGTCTGGGGAACCTTAAATCCCCACAAGCCCAATTGAAACATACCCTTATATGAACCACCCTAGACAACAGGAAACTCCCTAAACCCTAAAACCTGACTTTGACCAAAACCTTGGCTCTGGTGCTTAGGCGGAACTTAGTAAGTAGGTCAAAAAGTAGGTCAAACATGGGAAAATGTAAGCATCCATTTAGGGTTTCGGGATTATATAGGGATTACATAAAGGATCATGGAAAAGAACATGGAAGCCATTATTCAGGGGTTTAGGGTTGATGGAGTATATAGGGGTCATACACGGATCATGGAAAAGAAAACAGAAGCTATTATTTAGGATTTGAGTTGAGGGTTCAGGGATTTTATAGGGGATATAACGGGACCATGGAGAAGAAGATGGAAGCTACTATTTAGGATTTGGGGTTGAGGATTTAGGGAGTATGTAAGGGTTTATAGAGGGACCATTGAGAAGAAAATGGAAGCTACTATTTGGGGTTTGGGGTTGAAGGTCTAGAATTCCGCGGGTTTCTAGGAAGCTGACGAACAACTCAGGTGATGCGGGATGAAAACCTGGGGGATGTGAAGCAAAGCCGTTGGGCACTGCCGGAGCCTAAGCGTGTGCGACCACTTAGCGTCTCTAGCTCCGCTCTAACCCGGTCGATATGGCTTGCCCATTTTTCTCTGCCTCCTCCTCCTGGCAAAATGAAAGCCATGTGAATGTGGTCTCAGCCCCGATGAACCACCACTTTCCCGTAGAGCTTTCCCACGTCACATTCATCTTCTGAGTTGCGTCCTCCTTCACCTATTTTCAGACTTCAGTCGTAGGTTTTCTGGTTTAAGGCTTAGGGTTTAGGGCTTCGAGTTCAAGCTGGCCAACCAGCGCCTTGACACAAAGCTCTGAAACTGAAATCCTGAAACCTTCAACTCGAATCCCTCAAGCCGAAGTCCTTGTGTCCAAATCCCATGAACATTGAAAAAAGGGTTAAGGGCTTGTGGGTTTGGGGTTCAAAGTTTAGGGTTTCCTAAATCCTCCTGAAATCCCCCTATCCCCCCTTTAGCCCACACATCCTGCAGTCCTAAACCCCTTGCAAGGTCCCTAAATCCTCAACCCTCAACTCTTAATCAATACCTGGGATTCAAAGCCTAAACCCTGAACTCCAAAGCCTAAACCCTAAACGCGAAATCCTAAACCCCAAATCCTATACCCTATCTCCTCAGCCCTACATCCTATGCCCCAAATCCTAAACCCTAAATTCTACACGTTAAGTCCGAAACCCTAAATCCTACACCCTAAATCCTAAACCCTGAACCCCTGGCCTGTTGGGTGAAGGCCTTTCCACCAACCGGCTGCACCCGCAGCTGGCGCCCCTGGCGGGTCACCTGCAGATTGAGAGCTTCGGGTATACAGAGTCTAGGTTATATGGGGCTTAGGGTTAGGGTATATAGGGTTTAGGGCTTAGGGGTTATAGGGCTTAGGATATAGGGTTTATAGGGTTTAGGGTTTAGGGTATATAAGGTTTAGGGTTTAGGGGATATAGGGCTTAGGGTATAAGGTATCTAGGGTTTACGGTACAGGGTATATAGGGTTTACGATCTAGGGTATGCAGGGTTTAGGGCATAGGGTATATAGGGTCTAGGGTATATAGGGTTTACGGTACAGGGTATATAGGGGTTAGGGTTGCATGGGGGTATATAGGGGTCTATAGTGATTGTATTATAGATTTAGTCTTTAGGGTTTAGGGTTGCATTTGGTCGTATTGGGATAATAGGGGTTACGTAGGGTGTGGGTTCAGTTTTTAGGGCTATATGAAGGTGTTTAGGGACATATGGGGACTGTATAGGGGCTATATAGGGATTATGTAGGGTTGAGGGTTTTGGGGATTTTGGGTGTAGGGCTTTGGGCTCAAGGTTTTGGGTGTCAGGTTTAGGGTGTCGGGTTTGAGTTGTAGTGTCTTCAGGTTTAGTCTAGGGCTTACGGTTTAGGGTTTTCGATCTTGGGCTTTGGGTTCTGGGTTCAAGGTTCTGCGTTTCGAGTGTTGGGTTTATGGACTGGGGTTTAAGGTTTGGGGTTTAGGGTTTCAATTTAGGATTCAAATGCTTCCCTCCCTCAATATGACAGCCCCACCTCCTTATGACAACTTGGTCCAATCTTGCACCTATATACTGGATGGGGTATTCATTTGTACGCGGGTTTGGGGGGCTCATTATTTGCTATTCTGCGAGGGGTTTCAAAGCAAATACTATCATGATCAGTTTTTTTAAGCCCAAACTTCCAAATCCTAAAACCTAAACCCCTCCCCCTCAGCCACACGCTCCCCCTGCCCTTCCCCAGCTCCTTGTCCTATGACCACACACAACCACTGCTACAGCGGAAACCGTAAATGGTTGTACTAACAAACCTCACTGTAGTATTGTCCACCAGGGTATCCATAATAATTCTTGGTGAATGCAAAATTTAGGGTGCATGGCTCACTTGGAGGGTTAGGGGAGGTTAGCAAGTATACTTATAACACTAGAAGCCAACAAAAAATATTGGTGGATTTTTTTTGGTACTGTTTCTTTGGTGTACTTTTTTTTGGGAGGGGGTGCGTGCCTAGAGTCGAAGGAAGCCTCACATCGTCTATTTAAAGAGCAGCCTGCAAACTTCGCACGGCTGATGGCTGGCGTCCCGTGCTGCATATTATGACAGCAGCTCTTGTGAAAACTGCATACCAAGATCAGCTGGGAGATGTCGCGTTGCAAAGCAGGATATGAGTGCGATGCAAAATCACAGGCTGGGCGGTTTTTCTTCTGTTTGCGGCGCCCAGCGCGCATTGCTGACTTGCTCGGAGCCAAAAGCTTTAAACTGTTTTCCTGGAGATCGCACTGAAGCCAATGTGCGAACTATATCACCTAGATGCCCAACACCGTCTCATGAACAGCCGTCAACGGCTAAGTTTGAACCTTTCAAGCCCTTATATGACCTCACACGGTCTTTGAAAGCCAAAGCCCTGAAGTCCACGTTGTTGCCAGCAATTTGGAATTCGGGGCCTGGGATTTTATCTTGAAGGCTTTCAGTGTAAAGTTACGTATGTGAGGAGCGCCGGCGTATACCTTAAACAATGACAGTAAGACTACTGATAACAAGGGTCTTAATGAGAAGAATAGTAATACTAATGGTCATAGTAGTAGTAGTAAGAACAGTGTAACAATAATAGTAGCGCTGGTCTATAATCATAGTAACGATAAGAAAACTAATAATGATGATGATAGTAAATAGTGATATACAACTGATATTAGAAAGAATGTTAAGAACAGGAAGGATGCCAACCAATTATAGTAGCCAGAATGCTAAGAAGTCAGGACGCCTCAAAGTAAGAAACCAGGAAGCCAATAAACGCCAGGAGGCTAAAAAGCCAAGAAGCTAAAACGCCCAAAAGCCAACAATCTAGGAGGCCAAAGAGCCAAGAAGCCAGGAGGCTAAAAACCAAGAAGCCAGGAAGCCCCACCCAAAAAAGTACCCTCACGCTCAAAAACGCACGCCTAAAAACTAGGCACTCCATATATCAACCCACTTATTAAGCCCCCCTGACCCCCCAAAGTAGCATCCGGGAACTTTGTTTTGTAAAGCCTCGGCAGAATACTAACAAGCATTCGAATTCCTGAGCCTGCTACTGGCGAAGTTAGGGTCAAGGTTTAGCCTAAAACCCTACACCCTTAAAATCTACCTGGAGGGCCAGTGAACTTGGAAAGTAAGCTGTAACCCTTTGAAACAGCAATCGATTCAGTTATCCAGTGACCTACTTACTAAATCCCCCTGAACCCTCCAAGCAAATTACACCCAAAGCCTAACCCCTAAGCCCCAAACCTAATCCTAAACCCTCAAAGTAAATTACACGCAAGACCCTGAACCCTGAATCCTAAACTCAAAATCCGAAACCCTAAATTCTAAACCTAAACCCTAAACCCCAAACTCCAAACCCTAAATCCCAATCCCGAAGTTCTAAACCCTAAACTCTAAACCTCTAAACTCCAAACCCTGAGCCCTGGAGGATGCAG